CCCAGGATCCATCCGTACAGAGAACAATCTTGAATTCACATCTACCACCACCAAATAAAGTTAACCTATGAACCCCTCATGCTCATTTGCTAGGTCCAAAGAAAAGTGCTTCCACCTTTTCTTCTTCTTTTCCAATAGAACATGTAAGTATACAATTCTACCTTAAAAGAAATCCCAGTTCTGGACCCAAGAAACTCTTTTTCTATTCAAGGATCCTCCTTTCACTGAAAGGATCCTCCAAATTTCCAAAAAGTGGATAACAACAATACCACTGTGATCCCATCTGTACACAGCAATGGCACTGTAAAGCATAGAGCATAAAACACCAAATTCCCACAGACAGCATCTGTCTTACTACAAACAATGGACCATTATCTTGTAAATAATTCTGATTAAGCTGCAGCATTTTCCCCAAACAAACAGTAGGGGAGCAGAGGGTGAGGATTTTTCTAGCGGGAGTGCCGGTCTTCTCCTTCCCCAGCACTGACACTCAGTTTTTTATTCAACTGATTGGACCCCCTCCCCTCCCTGCTCTGTCCCCCACGGTTTGGTTTTCATGGTCTGACCTTATCCAGCTGTCAATCATTTTGGCAACTAAAGAGGGAGCCGTCATGTTAATGGGATTCCCACCTCCATCCTTTGGGAAAGCTTTTCTGGTTGTTTTTTTCCCCGATGTATAGTTATATAACAATTAGTGAATACACCCATAAACCCTTTAGTTATTAAATTGTTCTCTTGTTAGGGGATGTAAAAATTGGAAGCACAGCTAGGTGTGTACTTGGTGCCAGCCAGAATTCGGGGCTGTCCAGGAGTACCCGGCTGAAGGCAGGTTGTTTCAGTGAGGCAAACTGGTGGGTTCGTTGTACGGGTGAGTTTGGTGTGGGGGGTGGACTTCACCTGGCAAAAGCTGTCGCCCTCTTCAAATTCTCCTCAGAGAGGGAGCAAGCGGGTCTCCTCGCTGCAGGGGGAGCCAGGCGAGCTCAGGTGGAGGCCGGGTTGTGCGCAGCACCGGGGAGCGCGCACGCTCGCTGCCGGCACCGTACCTGCACGGCGCAGCCAGAGCAGGCTGCATTCCTCAGGAATGAAACTGCCACGCTAAACCAGCAACAAATTCACAAGCAAGATCTGAAAAGACTTAAAAACAAAGCAAAGCACGCAGACTGGAACGGGGTTAGCTATACAAAGGGACAAGTGAAACAAGACACAATTAGGGCTAATGTGGTCCTTTCTCCTAGGGTTCATAAACTGATCTATGTGGCAGCTGTGAATTGAGAAAAGCCCTAGAGTAATCCTGAATTTCGTCTTTAACTTGTTCATTTCAATGCACAAACCTTTTCTTACATGTCTCTCTTGATAAATGTCACATCTCTATATGGCTGAAGTGTTGGTTTTCCTTCCCTGCATTCTCTTAACGCGCCTTGTTATACATGTGAAATGTTCTGGATCAAACGCACTTCCTGACTTAAGAAAAAAAAAGAAAAAAGTAGAAAGGACTAAGCTAGGAGAGTAATGTCAAAAAGCAGGCAATAAAAATTTTAAATTACATGTAGTGATTTGAACTCACTGCCATTCAATTAAAAACCATGCAACAAACAATTCAGCCAGTAGATCAGAGAGCATGAGTAAGAACCCCAGGACCTGCAAAGCACTGCTCCGGCCATCTGCTTCCAGGAGAACAGAGCACCGAGAATAATACTGGCACTGAAAAGGAGGGGGGACAGGGAAAACATAGACAAACGGCGCATACAGAGTGATAGGTCCCCTGTCCTGAAAAGAGCCTCCTTGCACAGGCATGGGGACAGAACGAGCCTGCAGACTTGCTGTGCATCAGAGGGCTGAGGATGCCCACCATACAGCTTTCTATGCCTTTGCCTTCCTCGGACCCCCGGTATTACAAAGGCTCTAACAACATGGTTGGGGGCAGAGTGCTGTGGTGATCATCAGATTCAAAACTGGTGGCTCTACCCAGATGGCACCTGTTACAAGAGGCCGGAGGTCAAAATTCATGGATTTGGTTGAAAGACGTTATGGTCAAAACATCGGAAAGCTCCCGCAGGTGCAGAGAGCCCCTGAGCACCTGCCTTTTGGCTTAAGCAGGGGCTGAGGCTGAAGGCAGGTTTGAGCACAGGTTTCTCAGTAATGTGCTGCTGAGGAAGTCAATCTCATGAATGCTGCAGGATGTAGGAGGAATATACGTATCCAACAGGTATTTTCAATATGTGTTTATTTTCATCAATAAATTTTTATAGCTACTGTAGTTATGTCAGAGGAGGAAGCATTTATACGCTGAGGACTTATATAATGTTCTTCATCTTCAAAGTACTTTACAAGCATTAATTAATTCATTTCTCCTCACAGCACTCCTACCAGGGAGATAAGTACTATTATTTCCCATTTCACAATAGAGAATCTAAAGCAGAAAACTTAGTGATTTTTTTTTTTTCCCCCATGGCCAGGGAGTGAATCACTGGTAGTCCTTTCGTAGTGAGGACTGTCACTTTCTGCATGTTAGCTCCCCTCCTCAAATCGTATTTAAAAGCCTTGCGTTTCTGCTGGAGTCACAGCACATATCCCGGTACATCTTGGGTTTTTCCTTCAGTAAGAGATAATTAAGGAACAATTCCCTCTCTGATGCCCAGCATGACATTCTGGTGCTCTGAGCTGAACAATGGGGGTTCTGTGCGGGGACGGCACTACAGAAGCTGCGGATCAGAGAAGATCAGCTTAAAGAAACTTACTCGCCTGCATTTCGCTCTGCGGACAATGCGGCGAGTTAGGCAGGCTGCGGGGAAACGCTTCACGTGGGGGTGGACTTTAGAAGCACCTGCTTGTAAATGGACGTGCTCCTGCCAGGAGAATCTCCTCCACGGGGCGATCTGAAGTCGCTCGCATCCAGCGTGCATGTCTGGAAACTTCACATATTAGGAAATCTGTTGTGGTTTCTGATATTTGTTCTCAGTCCTAACAGTATTTCTTTTACAGTCATGCTTGAGGGAAGCATAGCGCTCCTATTTCACCTCTGTGGTGCTACTGTAAATAAACCTCTTTCCAGCTTGCTCATTGCCAGCAAACGTGTGGCTGCTTTGAATGGCAATAAAAGTTCCTGTTAGTTTGAAAGGGTCAATTTCAAAGAATAGGAAAAAAACACAACAGTGACAGGAGTCTTGCAGGGAAGTTGTTCAGATTGAAGCACTTAAATCAACACTGGTGATGGCAAATTGGAAAAAAAAATTCCAATTTTGTATCAGGAAGAAGTTTACGCTATTATATTCCCTGTTAGCGAGCGCCTTACCCACCCTGGATTTTTCCACACTAGTTTACGTTCTGATAATAATAAATTATTATTATCAATAAACCAAAACCAGAAACCAAAACCACCTAGGTAACTTCCTCGCTTGGAAATGACATGTTCTTTACCAAAATGAACTGCCAAGCTAGAACATGGCGTATCCCAGAATGCACGACAAAGTCCTCCTGGTGAAAGGCCGGTACCTAGACATTACTTTGGAACAACCAGAACAATTGTTTAGTGAGAAATGTTTTTTGCATATGACTCATCAACCCTTGAAAACAGCACTTCTTATATAATACAAGTGCTGACACAGCCTTCACTTGAGTGGTGTGACTGCAGCTGTATAATTACAACTTTAGATTTGATGTTATGGACCTTAGGTTACGCTGTTCAGACAAATGTTCCATTGTATTATGGAGATATTTTTTCCTTAGTCATATTGCCCACAGGACAATAAGGACTACATTCACAGCTCACTGCGTAGAAGTTTAGGCGTATAACAGCCAGCGGTATTACACAAGATAAGATTATGCCCTATGGGGGTTAAATGGATTCATAATTGCCACTTTTTCTTGTCTTTTTTTTTCTTTGCTCATAGTTGATACTTTTTTGGAAGTGCTCTCCAAATAAAAGGAAGAACAATCTCACACTGAGTCTGGATAAATGTTACAGTTGTCTCACAAATGCTGTATTATTTCTAGCCCTTCCAAAATAATATAATTGTCCTACTGCTGAACTACAGATTTTTCTCAGTATGACACAGAACACTAAAATGTCAGGTCCTGACTCATGGTGTTTTGGGTGGAATAAATAAAAAGTACCAATATGCTTTTCAAAACTGAGAGCGTTAATGAAGATGTGACATTGGGAGCCCTAGTCATGTTTTCCTTTAACTTCCCCTGCACGCTAACTGGTGCACCGAGCACCAGGCCACTGCTGGTAGGTCCGATTCTGGTAACACTCACCACTGGCCTGATTGGTACTACTGGGATTGGTATAACTGGTTCCTTGTCATCCTACACTTTCTTTACCTCAGGTGAATTTGCTGGGACTCTGAGGAGCAAGGCTAGTCTAGGGACACCCATTACATATTCTTTGCACTGGAAATAAAAAGAATACCTAAGGACTAGCCGCAGTGTTGAGGACTGTAACTTAATATAAGACAAAGCAAGATTAACCAAGAAAGATCACTGCATCAGCTCGTGGTATTTCTCCTTTGAGAGAGATGCTGTACATCCATTATTCACTAAGGCTAAGTTCCCAGCTGCAGGACTGGACCCAAATACAGCAGCTCACCCTGGCCAGGCACCCAGTCCGCTAATACTTACACACTTAATCCATCCGGTGTTACGCTTTTTTAAACCCAAGGGCCTCCACAAAAATCTCTTCTGGATTTTACTAGCGATAGAGGGGAAATAGGTCCCACTTTCCCAATATGCTTTTTGTGACAGAGGGAACAAGCCTAACGTCCCCCTGTATACCTGTCTAATCACACATTGCGCTGTTCTAATGACAAACCACTCCTTCCATAGAAGATTGCAATTTTAATAAATATCCCTAAAAAGGCCAGCAAGTCGCTTTGTAGAGTTTGCCTCTCAAAGCACAAATAAATCATGGACGGTATGAGTGGTCTTTGGTCTACCAAAAGATAAAACAGTTTCTTAGAGAGTTTTTTTGAATGAATTAACAAAATGACTCAAAACTGCACTAATGGTTAACAGCTTTTTTTTTATTAGCAACACTGAGATAAGTTATTGAAGCATTTTAGTATTGTTTTACATTCCATTCAGAAGTGACCTAACTTGTAACTCCATATACATTTAAAGATATAGTTTGACACTTATTCAGAAAGCAACAATTATTAAAACTTACATACCTTCATTACCAGGAAACCTTAATATATTTTCTAATTACTTCCAACAATACTCTATTCCAAAGCACATGATAACCCACTAGAAGTTTACACATTTCACTTCAATCACAGGTTTTAAATTGTGGATGTCAGAGTGCTGTTCATTGAATTTTACTGTCTTTCTTGGTTAATATTGGAAAACCTGGCACAATATATTAAGCTAGAAATATTGCTTAAGGAATATGAAAAAAGATAACTACAGTATTTTTTCCTGCTAAAGCATTACAAAATACAGGACCATTAAAAACTCAAATAGAAATGACAATAAATAACCTTAAAAACGTTAAGAGAATTTTCACTCATACTAAAGTCCATTCCCTAAGCTTGCCAAACACATAAATAACAGAACATATTCAAGACCTCTATTTTTGCACTATTATGATGGTTTGTTATATATTGTGGATGTATTGTGTATACATATATTAATGCTTACACTTAAGGTATATAATTTTTGCCTTTGCTGAAACAATTAATAAGCCTCAGGTAATCATTTATCCTTGGTACTACAGTTATCTAGATACAAGGGAGAAAACCCTGGAAACGCCAGGTATGCGATACTGTGCATAACAAGATCATCTCTGCATAAAGATATTCTAAGTTCCTTAAATTGCAAAGATGAATTTGGTTATTTATTTCTGAAAGCCTGTAAAATAAAATTATAATTGCTGTCAAATTAATTGTTTAAAATTGGCCTCGTAATAGGTATTAATTGTACACTTAGTTTTGACTTACAAGGATGTCTAAATTGTTTGTGTTTATGAGTAGTTATAGGAAATACTATACCTCAGACACAAGAATATATATATATATATATATTCCTGAACCAAAACACAAATCAGAGCATTGTCTCACGCTGGAAAGATCTGGAAACATCTCTATGCCTCTGCCTAATCCTAAATTATAATTAAAATTTGAGCTGGATATGACGAAAACAATGAGAATATATTGTTCAGGAGACGAACCTTGGAGTAAAATCATACAGCTCTAAGCTTACGTCGTTATTTTGTCTCTGCAAAGTAAAGAAAAGCCTTGCTGTGCTGGGGGTTTGCCCTGGTGCGGCTGGCCACCGATGTCTGAACTCGAGGCAGATGCCCAGGCCTCCGTTTGCAAACACAATCCCCCTCTCGGAGCCAGGGCGAGGAGAGCGGCAATGCCTTCCCGTGTCACTGGGAACACGAGGGACTCAGCGCTTGGCTGCAGCAGATAGTTTAGGGGTTAACTTCCACCTCCACAAATACAAATGGAATGGGGCTGTTACGCTGCAATATGCAAGATGTTGAGAAATAAAAGTTTTTGCCAGTAAACAAAATATTGGTACTGAACTCACCACCGGATTAATTTTCCCATACAACAAAATATAATCAAATTAAGTTACATGAATATAGCTGCGAAATTTAAAGTCAGAGAAACATAGGACCTGATTCTGCAGTCCTTAGTCACGTAAGTAGTCCCACTCATCAAGACTGAGGGATGCAAGATGGGGTCCTAAGCTTCTACTTAGGAAGTCACTGTTGATTCAGACAGTATCTTTTCCAGCCAAAAATATGCAGCAAAAGGAAAGTAACATAAACAAGGCTAAATGTCAACAATGTTTGCAGACTTACAGACACCATCCATTTGTTTGTACTGAAACGACTAGCGAACCATTTGGCAAATACAATGCTATTCACAGACCAGCCCTTTTATCCAGCAACACAAACTTCACCGGATCACTGGCATTCCCAGTTAATTAGAAAAAGGAAGCAAGCCATATGAGTTTGGTTTGATAGTGCCATGCAAATGGCATTGCAAGATCCGGAAGTGCAGCTGAAACCTGCCAGCGAGGCCGAGGGTCTGCTCTCACACTCGGCAGCACAGTTCTGACACTAGAAGCAAGCCTTGAAAGTCCTAGCAAACTAAAGAAGCCTCTTCAAAATCACCATAATGGGGGAAAGAAAAGCCTGGAGTAAAACCTGGAGAGCTTTTTATTTCTGCCTTGAAGGAAAAGAATATTCTGGTTGCTCCTTCAACTGGATCAGGGCAAGATTTTCGCTTCCTTAACTGCCCTACAAGATACTTTAAATGAGCATGCCCACTATACTTTGCTGCAGTAAAGATGATCTCCCGTTATCTCATAGCTGTCCTAGAGCTTGGAATATATTAGGCCTTTTGCTTCTGTTTAATATGGATTTTATAATTTAAAAGAGCTATAATAGGGATTCGAGTGAAGTGACCACAAACAATTAAAAATCTTTTTCTGCATTTTATATGTTGGTGGTAGTTCTGAAGGGGTTAGCATTATAATCTTTTTGGTTTTGACACCTGTGGCAATAAGCACTTTACAATGACTAAATGCACTATTTAAACATTGGGGTAGAGCACTATAATTATGTGACAATAAAGCTGTAATAATCTGCCACAATCTATCTTCCCCCTGCCCGGCCCTCTTGTCTGTGCTACAGTTCCACATTTGGAAGGTATTTCAGAAAGTCACAGTGCCGTTCGTTGTAATATTTCTGTGCAATTCTGAGCACTTTCTGCTCCAAGGGAAACTGAAAGTGCTCAGCACTTTACAGGATCAGAACTTAAAACCTGCCACCATAGGTAAGAAAGGCCCTTCTCTATTTCCACCCAGTGAAAAAAAGTGATCAGGGGGTGGAGCCTATGCAGGAGAGAACAGCACTAACTGCAGAGGAAAGAAAGCATGAATGGAAGCAAATTAGACTTATAAAGAGAACATGGAAGTAATATTTTTGGACGTCGTTAAGTGTGGGTTCCATAGCACTAACCCATTAAGCAACCAGCTAATGCCCAGTACCATCTCTGGCCAATAGCTCTGTAGCCCACCAGCTGTTCTTCGAAAGCCTAGATACATCCCAAGTAGAAAATGCAAGTAGGGATATTTTACCATCTTAGACACAAAGCAAAAAGATTTAAAGGGGAGGAGAGAGAGAAAGGAGAGGGTCTTGTCATAAATAAACACTGTAGAAATCTTGTGTAAATTAGTGTCTTGGAACAGGAGGTAAAACATTACTGCAAGACAACTGCACATATATGGAAGAAAGGCAGAAAAAGAGAAGGGCATAAATGGTAAGGAAAACAGATCTTCTAGTCCTTAAGTACAAAGTAGGACTAGAACTTCATAGTAGGACTATGACTTCTCACACCAAGGGATCTGAAAGCAGGAATACTCAGATGTTCCCAGACAGCTACAAAGACAGCGAGCCTTCACCCTGCCCTTCCGCTCCCCGCTGAGCTGCTGGCTGCCAAGCAGCTCTGAAAGGCACAGCCTTGCTCCCAGGAACCACATGGTAGCAAGGATTAACAAGTTCATCTCTTAGGAATAGTCAAAAAAAACAAAATACAGGGAAATTAAAAAGGTCAGAAGTAACTCTAAATTCATCAAACAATGGTAATTCTTTCTTTCTGTTCTTTCCTATTCTGCTATGTATGTAAAGGAGAAAAATGTGATTTTTCTCAGCGGCATTTTGAAATGGAAGTTTCTGTATCATTCAACAATTATGGTTTTTTCCCTCCTAATTGTGCCTTTCATTCCTACAGCCTTAAGCGTGATAGAAGCATAAATGAATTACGAGTACGTACATCATTAGTCTTTCTGATTTCACATATAGGGAAACTGTCATTGCTTCCCTTATGTGGGGGGATTTTTCAAAACAATGCGTGTTGGTGGAATTCTCTCTAGAAATTAATCCTTTTTATGCCAAGATCTGTGCTTAAAATTTGACCCATAAGCTTAAGGTAAAATTTGCCAGCTGAAAGTGAGATTGACCATATGGATCACTGAAAACCCCAGCTTGTTTTTCTACAGCCAGAAACATAACTTAATTAGCGTGGCCAATCAAAGATGTAATCCTAGCTAACTAAAGCTGAGATATTTTATTTCAATTTTATTTCAACTCTATTCTGATTGTGGAAAGAGCATCAAGCCTTGCTATCTTGATTGTGCAAGGAGTATATCAAGTGTATCAATGCTGTCTCTTGAAATGTCAACAACCACACTTCATCGGCTGTAAAAGGAAAGGCAAATGCCCAGAGTCTCGCAAAATACAAAAGAACACAAGAATCATGCCCTGGAACTTGGTACTGGAGGTGGGTCTCAAGCTTTCTGATCTCTCAAGCCGTAGGAGAGACAAAGGGATCCATTACTGAGGTCATGGTCTTTGTGCAAGCGGGAAAGCTAATAAATTAACAGAGCGCTCCTGCTGGCTAATCTGTAAGCGCAGAAACATCAGGTGAGATTCCCCACACTAGCATGCACAGATGGAGTGTGATTTCACAGTACAAAATGTCACTGAGAAAATAAGAACTCCCCCAAAACACTGCTTTCCAGTGGGTGGTGGCTAACCCAACCAAATAAATAAGAACTACGGACATTGGGCTTGACTCATCCATTTTTGCTGTAAGATATTGAGAAAAATGAAATAATATATTGAATTAGTCAACATTAATACTTATGTTCTGCAAATACTCAATGGAACATCAGTTCAGAATTTTAAAATGCTATTTTTGGAGGGGGAGAAAGGAGGACTCGCACTGCCTTTTCCATTTAAAAATGACTTAAAAAGTAGAACAGACAAGCTTCTGTTTTTTTTTTTTCCTTCATACTTCAAGTCAAACACATTATCACTGGGCAGAGCTTGTGAAAGGGATACGGTCTTTAAATTCATATAAACTCAGCCATCATAAAATGTCTACTGAATTGATTGGAAGATGAAACAAAAAACTAATGGAAGTAACATGACCTCATTTCAATAATGATGTTAGAGGGGTTTTTTGTTGTTTTTTTAAAAATCTTATGTCTGGGAAGAAGTATAAAGGTATTTTAAACACAGCAACTAATATTAGTTTTCCAATATTTTAACTTTTTGTTTTAAATAGCCATTTCTCTGCCTTATTTTTCTGTCTTTGTAGCTGATCGACAATACTCCACAAGTAGAGAGCAAAAAAGAACTCCAGGTAGGATTTCACCAGCTACAAACAGAAAGCAGCTTTCCACTCTTTTCAAAATGCCAGAAATCTACCAACTGGTTTGGAAGAATCTTGGAAACATTTCCAAATCTTTTACTTCTCAGTGAATTAACAAGCAGAAATTTACCAGTAAGGCCATGCAAACACTTGGGCTGGTGCTTCAGTTTTAGTAGTGATAATACCGTGAAGCCAAAACGCTCTAAGCATATAAGTGAAAGAAACTGTGTGTGGAGAAATCACTTTCTTTTTTTTTTTTTTTTTAATCAAACCAGCTAATACACTTGGAAAAGCAGACAGAGGCCTAAAGAAGGGGCTATGTGCCTAACAGTCCATGCATTTTTTCCAAGTGTAACTACTGATCTGGCTTAAGCACATACTAGCCTAGTAATGTTGAACAAACCTCCTGCTAACCTTAAGTTAAACAGGGCAACCATTCTTAAGCGTTTGTGGATTTAGGGCTATATTTTAAATTGTCAGGCTTTATAACTGTTGCTTATTTTTTCTTTTCTTTTTTTAACTTGAAAACATTTTACTATGCATGTTCAGCTCTGACAATGAGTTTTCTGATTAGTTTGAAGGTTAAGTGAAACAAGAGCATTACTGAAGTTTTTGCGGCCTTTGCTGACTGCTTTTTAAACTGATACTGCTTTTCAAAGGATTTACACTCTAAAATATTTCTCAGACAAGATCTATGCTTACAAAACAGGAGATGAATTGAAAAATCCTCAATCTCATTTGTTCCAAAGGGATTTAACTTTCATTTTTGTCAAATATGATGTGTGATACAAGGAAGTAAGACTGCAGTTTTGTAAATCAGAGATTAATAAAGGTGTTTTTGTTTGTCTGATAGGTTTTTTTTTTTTTAATTACCTGGAGGCATACTCTTAATTAGGCAAATCAAAACTTGTACAACTTCAAGTTAGAACAGTTAAAATGGTCAAAGGCAACCACTGTGCGGGTGCCTTTGAAACAAATCACAAAAATGTAGTTTAAAAAAAAGGGGAGGGGGAACATGGCTCCTCACTACAGGTAGAAGCGTTCCATCCACTTGGCCTTTGATTTCATTAATATTGTGGGAATTGAATGCACCCAAATTCAAAGCAAAAAAAATAAAAAAGAGAGAGAGAGAGAGAGAGAGAGAAAGCAAGGTTTGCTTGGCAAAGCATCCAGTGTTTTTCTTGGGTTCTTACTTATATCAAAATACTGAAAAGTTTGCAAGTTACCATGTAAATTTTTTAAAACTTTTTCCTCCTTTGAGTATGCTAAAGCAGTAAATATCCCCTTCAGATGCCACTAGCACAGATAGTCTATATTGCTGCTACTCTAATTTAAAAAGCAAGTTCTTTCTAAAATCCTGTATGAGTATATGCATGCAGCACTGCTGATTTCAATGGAGTAGACCACATATAAGACTAGAATTTGGCCCACTGGGTTTAACATTAAAAAAATGTATTACTAACAAACATGACTAAGTATATTTCAAGAGCAGCTTCATGATTCTGCACAAGTGTTTTCTGAAATGGTCTAAAAGAAGATCTAAAACTTACCACACAAGTCAGGTCTCTTGATACATCCACTAGTTGCTGTGCTACTTGCAAGTCCATTAAAGGCTGCTAAGCCATCAGAGCTGTAAGCTCTTAGGACTGACAACATGTTCATCTGCTTCTCCAGGACCTGTGGACCCTGAACTTGTTCGGGTTTCATCACTCCTTGTGCAGTTTCATGAGAGGACAGAAGATTCTGACTGTGCCACTGCTTTTCTGACGCTTGTGGCAGTGGAGATACGAGCCCTTGTGTTGACTGTGAGGTGACTGCACTTTGTATATTGTCGCCTCCTTCACTGCTTTCTTTATTTAGGGCAGACAGTTGCTTATTCATGATATCTGGTTCTGTTTCAATGTCGTCATCTTCAATGTTTTCTTCCTTGGAAGATTCCATATCCTCAGATGAAGCTATGTCAGAAAGGTCATCAGTAGCACTTTTATTTACAGAGTCAGAGAGCAGAATATTTGGGTCATCTTCGGATTGTGTTTTTGCTTCAGATTCATTACTGGTGCAAGAATTTTGTGCTCCTGTGCCAATAACACCAGGATAAACACCAAACTGCTTATAGAAGTCTGTTGTAAAATTACAAAAGGTAGACTCCATGTGGCTGGGCCAGGCAGTATTCTTTTGCTCCCCCAGAGTTTCTTTATTTGGTCCTTGGGTCATTTTCTCTGAAGCGGAGTCTAGCTGGCTAAGCATGTTTGAAACTACTGCCTCCTTGCTGGACTGCACTGAAGAGGGGAGCAAGTTCACTTTATTAACTGAGGTTGAAGCTTCTCTAGATTGGTCTTTGTTGCTCCCTAGGATGTTGTCTTTACGTTTAGCCTTGCCCAAGTGATTGGCCTGGAGGTGCAGAGCCATTAGTTCCATAGATGAAGTTGTGAAGGAACAGAACAAGCAGCCATGCCAAGCGATGTTGTCTTGCACAGTAACAGAGGAACCTGGGAGGGAGGCTGCATCTGGCCTTACAGATAAGTCAAGAGGTTCGTATTGTGACTTTTCTGTTTTTCGCTGTGAGGACTTGCTATTTATCTTTTCCTCGCCACCATCTGAGCCGAGAGCTTTTGCTGAAAGTGGATCTGATAGGGCTTTATCCTTCATTTCTTTTTCTTTCTTTAAGGAACTTAGGACAAAGCTGTCCATGAAAGCTTGCAAAGACCCTTGGAAGTTCACTCCATTCCCAACCATGTTCTGATAAGCACGGCCAAGTTCAGAGAAGTGTGCTCCTTTGGAAGATATCTCTGAACCCTTCATATTTTCTGAAGATACTTCAGATGACATGCCAGCTGCTTGTCCTTGTTGATCTCCAGAAGAAAGCATTCCTGATGTCCACTGCTGTGAGACCATGCCACTTCGGAAATCAATACCAGGAAGGCCCTTAAAGGCTCCTCTCAATATATCTGGTCTAATAAACACAGAACTTTTACTTGATGTTTCATCCTTGTGTTCTTGATTTGCAGTCTGCCCCGAGAGTGGTCCTGCTCCATTCTGTCGCTCCCGATGGTGTCGCTCCAAGTGGTATTTGAGGGATGCAGACTGAGTACCAGCATAATCACAATGCGGACACTTGTAAGGTTTCTCACCTGTAAGTATGTACAAAAAAACAAATAAAAAGAAATAGAGTTTACTGCACTTTGGTGCATGGATAAGTGAAGAAAAAAAAACAACATTATCTGCTTGAAAACAAAAAGATCTTAGAGCTAATAATTCCTTTTTTAAAAAGAAATGTCTTTGAAGACTAATTTCATAAACTGAACATTTCTAGAATGGGTTTCCAGCATGTGGGGCTATTCAGGAATGACATGCTATCTACACACAATTAGCTATCTTTTTCTTAATCTAACATGTAGAAAACTGTTGTAGAATTAAAAGCTATGATTATGAAAATGAAGCATAACAATTTCGACCACAGTAATCATTAAAAGTACAAGTTTAAAAAAAAGAGAGACAAAGAATGTAACAAATGGATGGTTGCAATATTTTGTGTATACAATTGCTCTAAAATTTGTTTAAATTATACACATGGAAACCATTTTTAAACCTAAAAATTTTATGGCACTGTTACGCAAGACTGAAATGAATGATTTAAGTCTTGCTCTGCAGTAAATCATGGATATAATTAGCAAATGGCATACTGCACAAGTAATTTATCATTATTTGGAGGGCACCATTCCAGAAGGATTCAAAGATCTGCAGACCTACTGCATTGTTTCTAAATAAAGAACTATAAATACAGATTTTATAAAATATTAATATCATTATAGTACATTATGACTGCAGCATGTAAGAACATATAGTTAAAATAAAAAGTAGTCAATAAAATTAAAAAGAAAAGTAGTAATAAAAAGGTACAAAATATATTTGGTTTCTGTATTTGAAATTAGTATTATCTACTGGATTTTGCAGTCTTTTAAATTTGTACTAATGGCATTTCTAATGCTCAAGTAGTAAAATGTGTAATTTACCTATCAAAAGCGCTTTTCTAGGATCAGCTTGAATAGTGTTTCAAAACATAAGATGATTTTCATGAATTAAATATATATTGGAATTCCATACTAAACTTTTATTGTTCTTCCTATATATTAAAAGTGCTAGAAGATATTGCCCATATAATAAATACTGAAATACCATCATAAATATATACCCAAGAAGAATGTATGTCTAAACAAATGTACATCTAAATTTGTGCAGAGCACTTGTTAGCAATCAAGAGTTCCTTTTAGAGGAAGAAGTACAGAAATACTCTCTAAAAGAGAGAGTGATCCATCCTGTGATTCAGACCTGTGAGCTTCTTTTTAATACTACCCTGTCAATATTGGCAATTATTTCTGTGGGGGAGCTCAAAAACAAGAAGAAACAGTTTTCTCTGTCTACCTTTTCTCCAAAGTGGTTTAAAGGGCAGTAAACCTCCTCTGAACAGTACAACGGAAATATCTGTTTCTAAAACTTCCTCCAAAATAAAAAAATTGTATAATATTATGTAGTTTACCAAAGCAGTTGGAAGTTACTCATTTTCAAATAATCTCAAAATCTACTTAAAACGAAGCTCAAGGCTCAAACTATTTTATTTGTTTAAGCTAAGGGCTTGATTGAAAGACTGAAAAGTACTTGGGAAACTCCCCTCTCCCTGATCACACGAATTTACTAACGAGATCCAACATCAGAACAGTCAGGATGGCGTGAACAGGCTGGCTGACCACGAACAGCGGCTGAATACGTACGGTCAAACAGACAGTGTTAAAGCAAATTATAAGCAGTGGAAATTCTAAATCCATAATGTAATCCAAAAGCTAAATGGTGAGACATGAGAGCTTTACATCAACTGCACTAATCGACCTTTTTAGAGGAGAAAAGGGCAGCACCTCAAACAATAGGTGTTCAGCAGAGGAAGAGGTAGTAATTAGCGTGGTTCATGCATCACGCCTGGGTCCACACAGTGTAAGAGAAGCAATCAGATTTCAACATTTCAGTGCAACTTCTGACTCTTTTACAATCACCTAATTAAGTTCTGGCACTCCACCCATAAGAATTAGGAGCTGCATTTTAGCGTGAGTCGTGCAAAAGCAAACAACTTCTGTAGTGCAAGAATCACTGAGCCGAGATGGTCCCCAACAGTTCTGGCTTCTCTCCTCTTAGGGGAGAGTCTCTGTACCACCTCTCCCGTTGACGGCATTTTCGGGTAGGGCCAAGGGGACAGAAGACATCGGCTGTTTGTTTGTTTGCATTTCTGCAGGGGCTGTTTGGGAGCGTGTAAACTCTGACAGCTGTGCTGCCAGGCACAACGTGGACAAACAT